AACACTGTTTCAATGTTACGTAAGAACTTTGGATATGAAAATGCAGTCTGTATTCATTGTCTTGTCAGATAATGGTTGGCAGGAGAAGAGTGACTAGACTGCTGACAGATTCACTCTCCAGATGAGATGTTAAGGCCCTGACAGAGGACACTGACTGAAAGAGTCTGAGTTTCCTTGTTATATTCCCAAACATCAGCCATGACCCTCAGATGTGAAGAGTAAATTGGATCCAAATTGTGTGTGTCCTCGAGTATATGCTATATATACAAAAGTATGTGGACACCCCTTCAAATTAGTGGATTCAACTATTTCAGCCACACCGTTGCTGACAGCTGTATAAAATCGATCACACAGCCATGCAATCTCCATAGACAAACATTGGCAGTAGAATGGCCTTACTGAAGAGCTCAGTGACTTTCAACATGGCACCGTCATAGGATGCCACCTTTCCAACAAGTCAGTTCGTCAAATTTCTGCCCTGCTTGAGCTGCCCCAGTCAAATGTAAGTGCTGTTATTGTGAAGTGGAAACGTCTAGGAGCAACAACGGCTCAGCCACGAAGTGGTAGGCAACACAAGCTCACAGAACAGGACCGCCGAGTGCTGAAGCGCGTAGTGTGTAAAGATCGTCTGTCCTCGGTTGCAACACTCACTACCGACTTCCAAACTGCCTCTGGAAGCAACGTCAGCACGATAACTGTTCGTCAGGAGCTTCATGAAATGGGTTTCCATGTCCGAGCAGCCGCACACAAGCCTAAGATCACCATGAGCAATGCCAAGCGACGGCTGGAGTGATGTAAAGCTCGCCGCCATTGGACTCTGGAGCAGTGGAAACACGTTCTCTGGAGTGATGAATCACGCTTCAACATCTGGCAGTCCGACGGACGCTACCTGCCCCAATGCATAGTGCCAACTGTAAAGTTTGGTGGAGGAGGAATAATGGTCTGGGTCTGTTTTCTATGGTTCGGGCTAGGCCCCTTAGTTCCAGTGAAGGGAAATCTTAACTCTACAGCGTACAATAACATTCTAGACGATTCTGTGCTTCCAACTTTATGGAAACAGTTTGGGGTTGACCCTTTCCTATTTCAGCATGATAATGCCCCTGTGCACAAAGCGAGGTCCATACAGAAATGGTTTGTCGAGATCGGTGTGGAAGAACTTGATTGGCGTGCACAGAGCCTTGACCTCAACCCCATCAAACAGCTTTGGGATGAATTGGAACTCTGACTGCGAGGCAGGCAATGCCCGACCTCACTAATGCTTGTGGCTGAATGGAAGCAAGTCCCCGCAGCAATGTTTCAACATCTAGAGGAAAGCCTTCCCAGAAGAGTGGAGGCTGTTATAGCAGCAAAGGGGGGGACCAACTCCATATTAATGGCCATGATTTTGGAATGAAAGGTTCAACGAGCAGGTGTTCACATACTTTTGGTCATGAAAACACTGCTACTCCTACTGCTCTCTTCTCGTCTGACCATGTGTTCTCGCATACCCTGAGAGCATCTGGTCAGCGGGGTGGTGGCACAGGAATCCTCATCTCTCCCAAGCGGACATTCTCTCTTTTTCCCCTGACCCATCTGTCTATCTCCTCATTTGAATTCCATGATGTCACAGTCACTAGCCCATTCAAGCTTAACATCCTTGTCATTTATTGCCCTCCAGGTTCCCTTGGAGAGTTCATCAATGAGCTTGACGCCTTGATAAGTTCCTTTCCTGAGGATGGCTCACACCTCACAGTTCTGGGTGACTTTAACCTCCCTACGTCTACCTTTGACTAATTTCTCTCTGCCTCCTTCTTTCCACTCCTCTCCTCTTTTGACCTCACCCTCTCACCGTCCCCCCCTACTCACAAGGCAGGCAATACGCTTGACCTCATCTTTACTAGATGCTGTTCTTCTACTAATCTCACTGCAACTCCCCTCCATGTCTCCGACCACTACTTTGTATCCTTTTCTCTCTCGCTCTCCTCCAACACTACTCACTCTGCCCCTACTCAGATGGTAATACGCTGTCGCAACCTTCGCTCTCTCTCTCCCGCTACTCTCTCCTCTTCCATCCTATCATCTCTTCCCTCTGCTCAATCCTTCTCCCTCCAATCTCCTGATTCAGCCTCCTCAACCCTCCTCTCCTCCCTTTCTGTATCCTTTGACTCTCTATGTCCCCTATCCTCCCGGCCGGCTCGGTCCTCCCCTCCTGCTCCGTGGCTTGACTACTCATTGCGAGCTCACAGAACAGGGCTCCAGGCAGCCGAGCGGAAATGGAGGAAAACTAGACTCCCTGCGGACCTGGCATCTTTTCACTCCCTCCTCTCTACATTTTCTTCCTCTGTTTCTGCTGCTAAAGCCACTTTCTACCACTCTAAATTCCAAGCATCTGCCTCTAACCCTAGGAAGCTCTTTGCCACCTTCTCCTCCCTGCTGAATCCCCCCCCCCCTCCCTCTCTGTGGATGACTTCGTCAACCATTTTGAAAAGAAGGTTGACGACATCCGATCCTCGTTTGTTAAGTCAAATGACACTGCTGGTCCTGCTCACACTGCCCTACCCTATGCTTTGACTTCTTTCTCCCCTCTCTCTCCAGATGAAATCTTGCGACTTGTGACGGCCGGCCGCCCAACAACCTGCCCGCTTGACCCTATCCCCTCCTCTCTTCTCCAGACCATCTCCGGTGACCTTCTCCCTTACCTCACCTCGCTCATCAACTCATCCTTGACCGCTGGCTATGTCCCTTCCGTCTTCAAGAGAGCGAGAGTTGCACCCCTTCTCAAAAAACCTACACTCGATCCCTCCGATGTCAACAACTACAGACCAGTATCCCTTCTTTCTTTTCTCTCCAAAACTCTTGAGCGTGCCGTCTTTAGCCAACTCTCTTGCTATCTCTCTCAGAATGACCTTCTTGATCCAAACCAGTCAGGTTTCAAGACTGGTCATTCAACTGAGACTGCTCTTCTCTGTGTCACGGAGGCTCTCAGCACTGCTAAAGCTAACTCTCTCTCCTCTGCTCTTGTCCTTCTAGACCTGTCTGCTGCCTTTGATACTGTGAACCATCAGATCCTCCTCTCCACCCTCTCCGAGTTGGGCATCTCCGGCGCGGCTCACTCTTGGATTGCGTCCTACCTGACCGGTCGCTCCAACAAGTGGCGTGGCGAGAATCTGTCTCCGCACCACGTGCTCTCACCACTGGTGTCCCTCAGTTCTAGGCCCTCTCCTATTCTCGCTATACACCAAGTCACTTGGCTCTGTCATATCCTCACATGGCCTCTCCTATCATTGCTACGCAGACGACACATAACTAATCTTCTCCTTTCCCCCTTCTGATAACCAGGTGGCGAATTGCATCTCTGCATGTCTGTTAGACATATCAGTGTGGATGACGGATCACCACCTCAAGCTGAACCTCGGCAAGACGGAGCTGCTCTTCCTCCCGGGGAAGGACTGCCCGTTCCATGATCTCGCCATCACGGTTGACAACTCCGTTGTGTCCTCCTCCCAGAGTGCAAAGAGCCTTGGCGTGACCCTGGACAACACCCTGTCGTTCTCCGCTAACATCAAGGCGGTTACCCGATCCTGTAGGTTCATGCTCTACAACATTCGGAGAGTACGACCCTGCCTTACACAGGAAGCGGCACAGGTCCTAATCCAGGCACTTGTCATCTCCCGTCTGGATTACTGCAACTCGCTGTTGGCTGGGCTCCCTGCCTGTGCCATTAAACCCCTCCAACTCATCCAGAATGCCGCAGCCCGTCTGGTGTTCAACCTTCCCAAGTTCTCTCATGTCACCCCGCTCCTCCACACACTCCACTGGCTTCCAGTTGAAGCTCGCATCTGCTACAAGACCATGGTGCTTGCCTGCGGAGCTGTGAGGGGAACGGCACCTCCGTACCTTCAGGCTCTCATCAGTCCCTACACCCAAACGAGGGCATTGCGTTCATCCACCTCTGGCCTGCTGGCCCCCCTACCTCTGCGGAAGCACAGTTCCCGCTCAGCCCAGTCAAAACTGTTCGCTGCTCTGGCACCCCAATGGTGGAACAAGCTCCCTCACGACGCCAGGACAGCGGAGTCACTCACCACCTTCCGGAGACACTTGAAACCCCACCTCTTTAAGGAATACCTGGGATAGGATAAAGTAATCCTTCTACCCCCCCTTACCCCACCCCCCCCCAAAAAAAAGATATTGTAAAGTGGTTATCCCACTGGCTATAAGGTGAATGCACCAATTTGTAAGTCGCTCTGGATAAGAGCGTCTGCTAAATGACGTAAATGTAATGTAAATGTATATTTCCATTCACATTTTAGTGATTTAGCTTATGCTTTTACACAGAGTGAATTGCAATAAGTTCATTCAAAGGACATTTGTGCTCAATTAGTATGCTACGTGGCTTTTGTTTTCAGACACAAAAACATAATAATCAATTTCTACTAAATACACGAAGACATTTACATTATTTCAAACATAGTTTATTTCCGTATAAAGACTCTTAAGTACAAAATAAACAATATGCCGTACATACATGAGTTTAAATATATCACAAACGATACAATCTGAGATTTAATTCTCATACACATGATATTGAGTGATCTCGAAGAAGAAAGACCAGCTGAATAACATAATAAACAATCATACAGAACAGCAGTTGAGTCGTTGATTTGTTTTAAACTGATTATTAATACATACTGTATTGACGTAGGTCTGGTCTGGTGAGATACATAAAGATTTATATAGCTGTAAAGGACGTACTTTATAGACAACATTCACAATGAAACAGCGAAATACACAACTTCCTGTCACCGATAGTTTATAATGAGTATCCCTTCGTTTTGTTCCGCCTCTCTCTCCTCTCTCTTGTTTTTGTCCTCCAGTTGTCTCCTCCGTCCTTCATATCAGGTTTATCATTAAACACAAGCCCTTTAATACCCAGGTTAAAACACAACATGAGGCTCTTCTCTTTTTTTATCTTAAAAAAAAGAAATATCTTTAACTCTGCATTGTTCGAAATGGACCTGTAAGTAAGCATTTCACTGTTAGTCTACGTCTGTTGTGACTACTAAAATGTTATTTCATTTGATTCTAAACAATGGCTCATTTTAGAAGTCACAAGTTTGGCAACTAGCCGTCTTGCAAATAGACATATCAAATTATAGTTTTAAGTGCTACTTATAGACTCATACAATATAAAAAATTGAAACAAACAAACACATAAAAAACAGATCAGTGCTTATGTTGCCACAGTAAAAACTATAATGCCCATATACCCAGGTGGTTGTCATAGTGACACATAAGGTGAGTTACTCCCACACAATATAAAGCGCTTATATAAATGCAAACATAAATGCCTTTTTCTCGTTATCTATCCCAGAGAGAATATATCTGAAAACAGACACACCATCATGCGCACCCACTTGCAGGCCCAAAGCAGTGTCCACAACAATTCCTGTAAACATACAAACATAATAGGTACTGTAAAATAACAATATCGGTTCATAAAACCTACTGGAGCCAAAAACACTGGCTTTTCTGCAACACCTCCCCTGGAAGAAGAGAAGTAAGTGTCTTTATATTATTTCAGGTATAGGGCTGTCGACCAGAGAGTTGGTCGTCCTATCTACAATAGGACAGAGGGGACTGCTCTGTCCAGTTGACACCCCCACTACTCTTGTGCCTTGTATCTCACATGCCATGCAGCCTGGTCTCTTCCACCTTCCAGCCGGTGGAGTTCTTCCCAAACTTATAGACCAGCCGTCTACCGTCCACCCTATCCAGGATCTCTCTCTTGTAGTAGTATCTATAGGAGGGAGGGAGGAAGGAGAGCCACTGGTTAGTCTCATGACAAGACAATGGTTTATCATGGAGATTTTATCATTGTTCTATCAATCTTCTAACTTCACCCTCAACTGGTTAACTCTGTTTAGTTAGCTAGCACCCAAAAGCCAAGCCTGGTTGCTAGGATTATGGTGTCCATGGCTAGTTGCCATGACAGTGCTGCTATATCACCATGGTTTCCTACCTCATGGCACGGCTGAGCTTCTCGTATGTCATACTGCTGTTCTTCTTCTTCTGCCCCCACAGCTGGGCCACAGCCTCAGACTTGAGGAACTTGAAGACACCCTCGTGGCGGTCCTCCCACTTCATCAGACCCTGGTTCTGGTTCTGCTCTGGGTGGATCAGGATGTCCCTAATGAACTCCCACAGGTGAGTCCCACGGGGCGCTATAGGGGGACAGTGGAGAGGAAGAGTTAGGTGTGTGTGAACAGCACAGGTGTGTGCTAAAGCAAGCAAGGATAAGGTAGAGCAGGTGTGTTTATGTTTGTATGTGTGTGTGCATGCGTGTGTGTGTGCATAATGTATGTGTGCGTGTGTACAGCATGTGTGTGTGTGTGAGTGTGCGTGTGAGCGCACGTCCATGCATGTGTGTGGTTAACGGACTATGACCTAAAAACACCTGTGATGTTTTGACTGTGGCTGTTTTCAGTACCAGATGCAAAATGTATGCTAATCTCATGACTGATAAAACCGTGCTTCTACAAGGCACCATTGAAAACAGTTGTTGACATTGATGTGTGTGTGTGTGTATGTGTGTTAGAATGATAGGAGCCACTCACCATGTTTGCTCTTCTTGGAGGTCTGGTAGTGTCTGGGATCTTGGCTGTGTTTGGGAGGTCTTCCTCTGCCTCTCTTCATCATCTCTCCCCTCTCTCCCCTCTCTGTCCTCTCTGTCTTTATGTGCACTTCTGTCAAACACAACGGTTCAGGAGTTTAGAATAACAGACTGGCTTTCAAAGAGACATGCACTTTAAAGGCTCACCCATTATACTCAACCACCACCGGAAGTTCAAGATTGTGAAGTCCACTTAGGAAAAGTTGTACTCACTGGCTATCTGAGGGTAGGAGAACTCTGGGTCGGACTCACTGCTCCTGGATTCTGGAGAGCTGGGGTTCTGGAAGCTGAGCATTCCACCTGGGGGCAGTGAGAGAAGAGGGTAAACACTTTCAATATGGCCGCTCCTTCATCCTGCCTTGATTGATTAATAAAGCCTTGGGCTCAGTGATACAGGCCAGACCAATCACATACTGATCCAGTGATGTGAAAATAATTGAGGGAAGAGAGATGAGAGGAGTGAGACGAGGACAGGTGGAGGGATGACAAACAAGAAGAAGAGAAAAGGGGGACACCACTCACCTGATGAGGAGCTGTGCATGCTGTCGGACTCGTATCCGTGGTCGCTGAGCGGCTTCATGTTATTGAAGTTGAAGTTCTTGAAGACGTGTGAGAAGTCGTTGTAGCTTGTGTCTTTCACAACTGTAACAGTAACATCACAACGTAAGCAAATGTGTCCCTTTGACACTCAAAGCTTTGGTTAGTCAGTCTGAGATAGGAAGCTGTGAAGAAGAGACAAGAGGATGTATTTACCTTCGTTTACTTCTACTGTGCTGAGCAGAGGGAAGTCTGGGAACTCATGCAGGAAGTTGTCCAGGAGCTTACAGGTCTCGTTCAGATCTGGACCACAAAAATAAATTAAATGACTGAATCATTACCAAAATTCCTCATATGCATGTGTCTGCTGCCATTTTGAGGATCATCAATAATGTTTATTCAATTCACATCAGTCAGAACCTTACCGTATTTGGCCTTGAGTTCCACCAGGCTTTGGTAGAGCTGAGCCCCAAGGGACATTCCGAACATGTTTAACAGCTGATCTCTGGTCAGTTGGCAGAGCGTGGGTCCGTCCATGAAGCAGCAGGACAGGCTCAGTGTGCCGGCATCAAACGTATTGCCCTCCACGTAGAAGCTGATCCACTCCAACACGTTCTGCTTGCTCCAGTACTGAGGGTTCTGGTCATACCATTGTGCTAGAGGAGGACACAGAGGAGGAGGGGGTGTTAGATTTGTGCAGTGAGTGTGTGTGTGTTTGTGTGTGTGTGTGAGGCATGATGCTGTTGTTGTAAAATCACCATCCCTCTTTTGAGATTCAACGATCTGTTAATGAGCCATAAAAAACCTTGTCAATCTAACCACCCAGTTAAACCGCAAGACAATTACTAACTGAAGCCTTTCAACTAAGTGCTAACCCACACAAGGACCCAGATCCTGATCTGTGAAAACCTGAGTTTGTGGTTTGTGGGAGTCAGAACGCCTGTCTCTAGGTTATCTCTGCCCTGTGTCGTAAAACACTTTCAACTACATAAACAGTTCTAGTCACAACTTATCACTGGCTAGGCCAGGGAAAGTAAAATAAAGCTTGAGGCATCTGAAAGATGAAAAGACAGCATTCCTCAATTTAAGACAAAACATTGTCCCAGTTAATGATTTAACAGCCTTCTAAATTAGGTCATTGCAAAGTTCAGCCAATCCCCTGTCTGTCTGTGACTTTAGCTAAAGGACATATGTTTACTGTGGTCTTTGACTGAGTGTCTGTCAACAGGCTCAGACAACAGACACATCTCTTCCAGGGTGAGTCAATGGGAAATATCCACAGACTTCACCAGCCAACAAGGCGACCAAAACCAAAGAACCGCCAAAACTCCTGACTGAATAAAGATCCTCACAGAAAAGATTGCACACATCCACACTGTGGTTTCCCAGGTGATCAACAGAAAAGTACATATCAAGGACTAAAGTATCCCACATGCTGATAACAAAGCAGAGACAATTACATATCTTCCTTTTCTGTCAATAATCAGTTTGAGTCTATTGTTTTTTTCATCTATAGATATCATATAATGTTATCACCAGCTAGGTGATTATGAAGAGGCATTGGTATAAGACACCTATAGCGCCCAGGTGACTGCAGATGAACATTGGTAGTTAGCTAAATCTGGTGCAATGCATACATTTTCAGTATATTGAGACTTATGTTTTTGTTGCACATTGTCCCTCTCTAAATAAACGTAATAAAAAATTAAATTAAATACAAAATAAGTATAAATTAGACTAAGTGTTCTCACCCAGTATGCTCGAGCTGCATGTGGAGAGGTCTGAGAGCTGCAGCAGGTCTCCTGTGGCGGGCAGAGACACGGTGGTGAGGCTGGGCTGCAGCGACTGAGGCTGCAGGGGCTCGGAGCTTCCAGTCGGGTATATGGTCATGTTAGCGTTGGTCAGGATCCTACACAGCTCACTGGCAGATGACATGGGCTCTCTGCAACCAGGAGAGAAACAAATTAATGTACAGTTAGGATGCTGTTTATGGATATAGATTAATTAACATATATAATAATTATAGTAAGATGGTTGTTAGTATAGTTTCTGTAACCAGGAGACAATTGAGTGAGCCACTGGATGCATATACAAGGATGATCAACATTAAATATTTGGAAATGGGAAACTTTTCACCCATGCCTTATTGTATTCACTGTTTGAAGTGGGTCACTGTGGTTGTACTTTGCATGAATGCAAAATATTTGGCTGTGTGTGAATACAAACCAGTTTCTGTTTCCTTTCCTCTGCTGTGGATGAATTTAAACTGACTTTCCCCAATATTTTACAGATGTGTCAACATAAATTGGATCTTTCAATTGGAGGATTCTGCTAAACATGCTACAGCGGTTAATGTGACCTCAGACCCAAGAAACCACCCCATCACTCCCCAAAGAGCATCTCCACTTCCACACGTACCTGATTCTGAGGCAACCGACAGGCAGCGATGAGAAGGTGTCAGATCAATAATAATCCACTGTTTGATTTAGAGTCCAGTGTTTGTGATTCACTCCGAGTGTTCGTCAGTATACTCCACGTTTTTTCTCCTGCTCTTCCTTCTCTCTCTCCCTTTATCTCTCTCGCTCTAGTTTCATAGATGCACCTGCCGCTGAATATACCTGTGAAAGGCTTTATACCCTAGAAATACATGTGGGAGGGGCCAGGTGAGCGCTAACTCAGAGGGGGAATTCCATGCTACCTTTAAACCATGGCTCACCCCCCTCTCTCTCACCCCACTCTCCCTCCTCTTCTCTCACCCTCCTTCTCCCCGGGAACTGTGAATAACAAAACAAACCTACCCTCTTGCTATACTTTCTCTTACCCCATTCCCTCCTCCCTCCTTCCTTCTCTCCATGACAAAGCTCAGGAGCGTTGGTGGGTGTGTCGAATGGAAAGACAAGACAGAAGAATGGTGTGGAATGGAGAGGGAGTTGAAGGGTCGAGAGAGGACAAGAGGATGGGGTGGAATGGAGGGGGAGATGAAGGGGTGAGAGAGAGGACGAGAGGATGGGGTGGTGGTGGTGAGAGTGAGGGAGTCTAAGAACAGAACTACAGGATGATGCCACTGTAAACATTCCTAATTGATCAATAGTCATGGTTGACCTAGTTTGTTTTATTAGGTAATACTTTATTTATTAATTCACTTTCTCACACAGTACCTCTATTTCTTGACCCCCCCCCACACACCCAAATGCCGGGTCTAAATGAATTATTTACGAGGTTACCATGAATTAGCAGGAATTGTTTACGAGGTTTAATGTTTCATTTGTTACATTAAATCATTCAGTAATGACCTGAAAACATTAAAGCAATCATCCGGGAGTACAGAACCCTAGAAAATGGCAGATCGCACTCTACTGGCGAAAGTGAGAACTGCCAAAATGCACAGCCAAAGAGGAGAATAGGTGTTTTAGTTTTTTCGAAATAGAGGCAAAAGAAACGTGACACAGTGTGTAAATGATCACACATTAGTGCAGGAAATGAAGAAATTGATTAAAATGCAGGAAGTGAATGCTGGAATTAAACAAGTAACTATGCAAATGAGCAAAAGCTGTCTGCATTAAGGAAATAGACGCCTGGCTCAAATAGAAGCCTGTCTCTAATAAGTGTATTTTGTGTTCAGTGACTTAAGCAAATATACGCCCGTGCTATTAATTAAAGTTTTACGGTATACCAGAAATATTCCATAAACAACGTTGGGATCCTCATTGATACCGGACCATACACACATGCACACACACGTACACACAAACACAAATGCACGTACGTATGTACGCATATGCGCACGCACGCATACACACACACCACCATCGCTACCACCTCTTTGTTTATCTCTAAGGAATTAAGTAATTTGTTCCATTATTTGCTGTTGACACTGACTCTGAAGCTTTCACAGGCCTCTCAGTAACATTAGGTCCTGTTTCAGTTTGGCCCAGTGGACTGGTTCAGCCAGCTCCACACGTTTACCCAACGGCAGGACCTTTCACTGCAAGTGACTCACTCAATATGGTTAACATGACGCAGGTTCAGTGGCCAGAATCACCATTATTCACCAAGTACATTCACATGTACCAGGAATATGACCTGGTGAAATGATGCTGCCACAATAAACACAATATATTCACAATATAATGACAGACGACACACAATATATACAGACAGAGTATATAGACAAGAATTTACACAATCAACATACAGTATGTACACCATAAACACTGTAAACTAAAATACGACAGACTACATAGTAAACACTATAAACTACACTTTAAATTATGCATGTAAAAGGTGTATAAGCAAAACAATTTTGCAGAATGATGTGCAATGGGGGAAATATATATGTAAAGAGCTAGTCCGTGGCAGGGTGCAAATGGGCAGAGAGTGCAAACAAGCAAATGTGCCGTTGTAGGATAATAGTGCAGGGTCATTTTTGGTGATTGGCTTTGTTTGCAGGGGTCATGTGTTGTGGACTAGGCCAATAAGGCTGAGTATACTAAGCGTTGCCTATAGCTTGAAGAGAAATCTGTCAGTTCCCACAGTTTGCCTGCCTGGCTTTCATCATCCTAAAGGGGTGGAACTCCATTACACCCTGTTGCTGCTCAGTCTAAGCCCTACAAGATTTAGTACAGGGATCACTGTCATGCAACCTAACCCAAAAGCAATGCTCAGGTGATGCCATCTCCCTCAGGAAATCTAGAAACTCATGACCTTAATCCTATGTGATTTTCTGGTTGTGCATGTATAATATGTTGGGGTGTAGTATCTTGAGTACAGTCTAACTGGAAGCTACTGAGACGTGGAACTAAGGGTGAGAGGCACGGCCAAAGTGTAGCCTAATTAACAACTGGCTCCTGGTCAATGTGTCATTAGATGAAACTAGGTCTGGATCAAAGAGAGCTGAACCTAAGGTGTAATCATAATGATACATAAGAAACTCAAAATCACCGTCTTTGGTAAAGGAAAAGACCAAGAAGGCAGAATCACTTTCCTTAAATGTATCCATAATGGAAAGAAAGTTGCCTTTGTTAATGTGTATGCTCCAAATTCATATGATCCTACGTTCTTTGATTCTCTGAACAGCATATTGCTAGAATTAACTCTATTCCAACTGGTTATTGGAACAGATATAAATGCCATTCTTGACAGGCGGGACAAATATAATAAGACCATCTACAATCCACAGGCACTCCAACATTCAGTATACTCTCTGATTACAACCTTATTGATGACTGGCAAGCTCATAACCCTAAAATAAAAGAGCACACTTTCTGTTCAATCAGGCACAAAGCATTCTCCTGAATCAATTTCCTACTATTATCTACTGCTCTATTTTCTCGACATTTGAGCCTATCTGATCATCATGCTTATTACTGCCAGATACACATTTCAGAATCTCCTAAAAGAGCCACAAGATGGCACTTTAATGTTTCCTTACTACAAAACAGTGCAACTGAATTGGCATCTGGGCTGAATAAATCACAATTAAAGAAGATATCAGAATTGGAAAAGTTGTTAACGACGTTAGAGCGTTCTCAATAAACACCTTTTCTCAGACCAGGTAGCGACTACTCTCATCAAAGTCAAGAAATAACTACATTTATTGATAAGACAGAGCAGAATTTGCCATCCATCGAGTTAGACTCTTCCATGGTAATCGACTCAGTCATCTACTGGCTAACAAGCTTTGCGGTAATGATCAATTATCGGATATTGCAACTGTTGAATCTGAATCAGGTGAATTACTATCGGAACCTAAATGAATCAACTAAAGATTTTCACATTTCTATAAAGAACTATACACCTCTGATTGTAAATCCACACCAAGCCAGATCGAGTCCTTTTTAAAATATATTAAAACTCCTCTTCTCTCAACTGAGGGTGCCGGCTTGCTGGGAGCCCAAATCTCTCTCCACGAACTCAAAAGGGCATTAGATAACATGAATGAAGGCAAATCACCTTGGGACGGTATTCCTCCTGAGGTCTATTTAAAAATGTTGAACCAATTAGGTCCACTGTTACTTGAAATGATTAACACATCCATTCACATTTTCATTTGGAAGGGATGTAAATACAGTACTAATTTCGCAATTATAAAAAAAAAGGTAAGGATGCCACCCAGTGCTCTCACTATTGCCCCCTATCTTTGATAAACACAGATATTCAACTATTTACCCAAATTGGAACAACTGGACCAAAGCGGGTTTGTTTAAAAACGATTATCCTCAAATACCCTCCGTCGTCTATTACATATCTTACATGCTTCATCAGAAACAAAAGCTCCTTGGGCAGTTCTATCTCTCAACAAAGAAAAAGCTTTTGATAGACTATAATGGCCATATCTTTGGTCGGTTTTGGAACATATGGGGCTTGGCTCCAATTTCTTTAATATTATTAAAATACAATATGCCAATTCCTCAGCGACAGTAATTACATCAATAACTGCTCTGTTCCGTTCAGAATAACTAGAAGTAACAGGCAAGGTGATCCCATCTCACCTCTGCAATTTTTATTGTAGGGGGTTGGACAGGATGGGGAGTTGATCTCTTTTTGTTTATTTTTTTCTTCACATACCAATTGTATTATTACACAATCCTGTGTGATCGATATGGGTACTTGTGGTATAAACTAAGTGTGCAAATTGAAATGAATATTCTTCCTGTAACCCACTGCAAAAAGAAAATTACAAGGCAAATAAAAACTTGGTAAAAAAAAAAGAAAGAGAGCTTAACCGAAACTTGGGCACGGAGCAGAGACAGTTATTTGACTGTAGGCTGAATGGACCCTGGATCCTGTCTGCAATTAGTGGGACAATAAACCATTTCGCAAATAGATGTAATCATTTCTTGTGTGCTGTAGAGCCTGGTTAATGTGTGTGTTTAGTGTAGAGTCGGTAGGGGACTGTGGGTTGTTGTGGTTCACTGTCACCTCCTAGTTGCTGACAAGGTCAATGCATGGATGGGATTCTTCGGAGCAAAGACTGAGGCCTGAGAATCTTAGCTCATGTCATTCAAAGGGTGATAATGGTTTTAGTTCTACTTAATGCATGCAATCTTTTGTCTGTAATTTAATTTTTTTGGAAAGGGGAGAGGGGTCTTAAAGTACTCAAGGTTTGAGTGAGGTAAGGCTTTGACTTTAAAGGACAAAGGTTATCATTGCCTTACTGAGTAAACAGATAAGAGACTCTATAAATAGCATTTCCTGTCACAGTATCAGCATGTTGTCAGTATACAATGTTTTTTTTTTTTGAGTTTTATCAGAGGTTATAAAATCAATAAATCATCAGAGTGCTTCCAGTTAAGGGTATATGGTTATAACCGAACAGGTGTTGTGTTGTAACGGCTTTGACCTCCTTAATGATCTCACCTGCTAACCTCTACTATAATTTCCCCCAAATTTCATAATGCCTATTAGGTCCCTACCCTTCCTTTCTGATCCATGGTAAAATGGAAAACAGTGCTGTCGCTAGGAATGCTGTTGGACTGGTTGGTGTTGAGACACAGGCTTTCAAGCCTTGTAGTTTCATGCTTTGTAGGCTCACTGGCATGGTGTCAATCGGAAAAATTCCATCACTTGTTGTTAGTCTCCTTTTTTCTTGCCTTTGCCATTACTCACTGCTACTGTCACTGCTAGAGATGCTGGGTTGGGTGTGTGTGTATGTGTGTAAGTTCTCATAGTCTCACTGCAGAATTAGACATTCATCCACATTCTCCAAACGTCAAATTACGAAGTTAAGGGTTAAGTTTAGGCACTCATTGCGAAAGGTTAAGGTAAGGGTTAAGGTTTTGGATAAGGTTAAAACATTACATTTAGGCACTTATTCCAAATTATGTAGGTAAGGGTTAAGGTTTGGGATAGGGTTAAAATAAAAAAATAAAAAAACAGAATCCACAACTGGGATTGAACACACAACCTACTGATCCAGACTCATGGGATTAAGCCCATCCACCAACCCCATCCACAATGCTGTTAGTGACTGGTTTTGAAACCATTTCCCGATGTCCTCAGGACATGGATAGACATCCAATTTCGATGACCTGCCTGCGGGCTCTAGTTTTGTCTTATCTTGATTATTGTCCAGTCATGTGGTCAAGTACTGCAAAGAAAGACCTAGTTAAGTTGCAGTTGGCCAAGAACTGAGCGGCACGTCTTGCTCTTCATTACTGAACAAAAATATAAACGCAGCATGCAACAATTTCAATGATTTTACTGAGTTACAGTTCATATAAGGAAATCAGTCAATTGAAATAAATAGGCCGTAATATATGGATTTCACATGACTGGGCAGGGGCACAGCCATGGGAGCCAGGCCCACCCAATGGGGAGCCAGGCCCAGCCAATCAGAATACGTTTTTCCCCACAAAAGGGGTTTATTACAGACACAAATACTCCTCAGTTTCATTAGCTAATCATTAATGTTTTGAAAATTCAAAATTGTTAGCATAGTCAACGTACACACACCTATGACACACACACCTACCCCACCAGACATGCCACCAGGGCTCTTTTCACAGTCCCCATATTCAGAACAAATTCAAGAAAGCGTACAGTATTAGAGTGCATTTGGAAAGTATTCGGACCCCTTGACTTTTTCCACATTTTGTTACGTTACAGCCTTATTCTAAAATTGATAAATTGTTTTTTCCCCCCTCATCAATCTACCCACAATACCCCATAATGACAAAGCAAAAACAGGTTTTTAGAAATTTTTGCAAATGTAATCAATATAAAAAAACATAAATATCACAATTACATAAGAATTCAGACCCTTTACTCATTACTTTGTTGAAGCACCTTTGGCAGCGATTACAGCCTTGAGTCTTCTTGGGTATGATGCTACAAGCTTGGCACACCTATATTTGGGGAGTTTCTCCCATTCTTCTCTGCAGATCCTCTCAAGCTCTGTCAGGTTAGATGAGGAGCGTTGCTGCACAGCTATTTTCAGGTCTCTCCAGAGATGTTCGATCGGGTTCAAGTCCAGGCTCTGGCTGGGCCACTCAAGGACATTCAGAGACTTGTCCCGAAGCCACTCCTGCATTGTCTTGGCTGTGTGCTTAGGGTTGTTGTCCTGTTGGAAGGTGAACCTTTGTTCCCAGTCTGAGGTCCTGAACGCTCTGGAGCAGTTTTCATCAAGGACCTCTCTGTACTTTGCTCCGTTCATCTTTGCCTAGATCCTGACTAGTCTCCCAGTCCCTGCCGCTGAAAAACATCCCCACACCACCATGCTTCACCATAGGGATGGTGCCTTTTACTGAGGAATGGCTTCCGTCTAGCCACTCTACCAGATTGGTGGAGTTCTGCAGAGATGGTTGTCCTACTGGATGGTTCTCCCATCTCCACAGAGGAACTCTAGAGCTCTGTCAGAGTGACCATTGGGTTCTTGGTCACTTCCCTGACCCTTCTCCCCCGATTGCTCAGTTTGGCCGGGCAGCCAGCTCTAGGAAGAGTCTTGGTGGTTCCAAACTTCTTCCATTTAAGAATGATGGTGGCCACTGTGTTCTTGGGGACCTTCAGTGCTGCAGAAATGTTTTGGTACCCTTCCCCAGATCTGTGCCTCGACACAATCCTGACTCGGAGCTTTACGGACAATTCTGCACTGTCAACTGTGGGACCTTATATAGACAGGTGTGTGCCTTTCCAAATCATGTCCAATCAATTGAATTTACCACAGGTGGACTCCAATCAAGTTGTAGAAACATCTCAAGGATGATCAATGGAAACAGGATGCACCTGAGCTCAATTTCGAGTCTAATAGCAAAGGGTCTGAATACTTATGAAAATAAGGTATTTTATTTGCAAAAATTTCTTACAACCTGTTTTCACTTTGTCATAATGGGGTATTGTGTGTAGATTGCTGAGGATGTGTAGTTATTTAATCAATTTTAGAATAAGGCTGTAACGTAACAAAATGTTGAAAAAGTCAAGGGGTCTGAATACTTTCCGAATGCACTGTATATAGAGACATTATTGCATGGAACAGAGGAATCCCCCTGGCCAGAGAGTGGTTTCAGTGCTAAGAGGGTCTGTAGGGCTGAGAGAGAAGAGGGGAGAGGAGGGAGAAAGAGGTAGCAAGCAAGAGTGTGAGAGAGAGAGAGAGAGAGAGAGAGAGAGAGAGAGAGAGAGAGAGAGAGAGAGAGAGAGAGAGAGAGAGAGAGAGAGAGAGAGAGAGAGAGAGAGAGAGAGAGAGAGAGAGTGTAAAAGGGAAAAGGAGAGAAAGAAAGAGCAGTGGAAAACAGAAACTGTGCTGATGGGATGGGGAGGCTCTCTGCCCATCTACCCTACCTGGTTAATGTTCACACAGTGATGTGATGTCATGTCTAACAATCTGGGACCAGACTCTGGACCTCAGCAATGACCTCACCGTGTGTATATGACAGAGAGAGAGGGAGAGAGAGAGTAGTGGTAGTCAATGAAGCGTCCTCCTCTTGTTACTACACACACACACACACACACATTCACACTCCCCTCTGGTGGAACAAGAGTGAAAGTGCAGGACAGTGTCAAACTACCCACCTATACTAGAATCCTTAGTTGCTACATCCATTTTTGGACGTATATATTTATAATATATACCCATTGATTCTTTAAGAATATAACGTATAAATGCCTCATGAGCTTAGTTCAACTGTCGTACCCCATCAGAACCCAAAATATAAGCTTGTTTTACTCCGGTGTTCGTAAAAACAACGTAAATGTAAACAAACACTATATTGCCTCAAAACATGGTTAAAACTATACATTTGATATCATGGATGGCCAGTCCTTGCATCCGTAGCTCTGTATATGAATTTGAGAGTGGTTACATTTTTCCCTCCCCATCCCATAGCTTTTTAGTGAAACGGGGCGGGGAGAGGCTTTGTGATTGTTTCAATTAAGGATTCTAGCTTTAATACTGTAATGCCTTCATATCCCAAACTTGAAATCAAAGCAGAATTTAATGTGAGGATAATTTAATAATCATAGCATCATTGGTATAAAATAGAGCTGATCATGTCCATATTCAGTGGTTGACTATTTGACTGTATGTTTGAATGGTGACTGACCAGCTAATTCTATTTGGCATTTTGCAGCGCCACATATAACCGACAGAGATAACCCACAGAGAACCCTGTAGGAAGCTGGGAGCAGGGCAGGTGGTGCTGGATATAGGAAAAAAACCCCTCAGCATTGAATTATACAGAGGAAGATTTACTGTAGACACAGATCTGTTTCTTTAAACATTATACTGTTTCTCTATACTGGGAACGGTTCACTGCAGTGGGTGGTGAAAATAGAGTATGTTCAATGGGCCAAGGCCGTGTAAGCAATTTAAAGTAAACTGGCTCAATGTTTCCTTTATTATTTTCACTGGCTAACTCATATTGTATACAACATATTTTATAATATTGTTTTACAAGTGCACAGTGACAGAGTGGACTGGTGAAGGTCTACAAGCACAGTGTGTCAGAGGTAATGCTATTAGCTAACTGTCATATTAGATGTAGATCATGTATCTGCAGGTATCATTGGCCTTTTCTATGATGACTGTAAACAAACGTTCAACCTGAGGTCCAAGGTATTGGATAGCATTGTGACCCCATTTTTAAGCCTTTGAGTAAAAGACCATCCAGAGCTCAAGCCTAAAGTGTTCCAGTTCTGCAGCCTCAGTACAGGGCCAGAGCCCGGTATCATTTATCTATTAACCCACTGACATGAACACCCTGAGCACCTGCATGCTCCGTCTTATAGCACCTTCCCTCCCCTCTCCCTCTCTCCTTCCCCCCCACCTCTTCCCCCTCCCCACCTTCCCAAACCTTATGTCAATCAGTCTGCTTTCTCCACTAGCTACCCTCCCATCAACAAGCACTTCCCTCTTCCCCCTCCCTACCTTCCCAAACTACAATCCCCCCCTCTCTTTTTACAACTGCAAATAACATTTCATAAATATCAAGGCTCTGTTGGGGTCCCTCCCCCTCCCTACCTTCTCTCCTGCCACAACAGAGGGGTATCAGGGGTGAGTCAGGGGGGAGTCAGGGCCGACCCCCTCCCCCCTGGGTCTTTTAATAGACCTGGATGGAGTTAGAGCAGCAGCTGCCTGTCTACACCACCTCTCCCCTGTCCCTGTCTGTCCCCCTTATCCCTACTCTCTCTCTGTCTCTCTCTGTCTCTTCCTTTTTCTCCCCCTGCCCCGTAACCCTCATCCCTCTCTCGCTGTGCTACCACTCCTCTCTATTTCTCTCACCTCCTCTCCTTGTCTCTCGCTTTCTCTCTGCTACCCCCTGTTCCCCTCTCTCTCTCTGTAACCCTCCTGTCTTCTTTCCCTATCTCTGCTTCAACCCCCGGACCCTAGCCACCTCCCCTTCTCATATATCTCACTCACACACACCTCATACTCACTCACAGGACTACCATTCCCGAAACGGTCACCATGGCCGACAAGAAGGGCGCTGCAGCCAACAGCAAACTGATGGTGAGGAAGATAGAGAGGACGACAAAGACAGCAGTGGAGGTCAAGAAAGAGATGAAGACCGAGATGAAGAGGGAGGTGAAGTCAAGTTTAGTGAAGAAAGAGGAAAAGGTCCTGGTGGTTGGGGAGAAGGTGGAGGGGAACGGAGAGGTCCCAATGGAGGAGGGAGCCACAGCTAATAAAGAAGCGGCTAACGGGGTGGCGGAGGCTAAAGCTAACGGAGCGAATGGAGAGTACGAACCCATTGAGTTGCCTCCTTGGGAGATCATCAAAGGGTGGGTGACAACAGATACTATGTGTGTGTATGTCTGTACTGGATGTCTCTGTCTGCTGCTGCTTTGCTTGCATTCTTTATGTTGGGGTCAAACATAAAGTGACATGGAATCACCATTCATGTATTGTTTCCAACTGTATATTAATCTGCAATTAATATGTATAGCTGAGTAATTCCATAGTTGTTACCAAAGTAGGCATAGAGAACTGAAGTGTTGCCAAATGACCTTTAGAGGGATGGTGAGGGCTGCTTCTCTCATTATGGAGAGAAAGATCCACGGTCATTCCAACGTGACAGAAGGAAATGGGTTTAGAATGCTGTGGATCACTGTAGAACTCTGTTGAACACTAGAACTCTGTGAAACACTGGAACGTCCACAGTGGTTTTGTTGTGACTGTCCATACGACTTAACATTGTGACAGCAGTGTCACTCTAAAATAAGTAGTCAAATGTCAGGCAGGAACAAAGCCACTGAGTTTTACCATAAAGTCAAATTAAATCCAAAATGAAGGTATACTGTTTAAGATAGTTTCAAACTCATTGATAAGGCCAGACCGAAAGTTTTCAATACCTTCACAGTGTTGTCTGCTTATCTAATCAATAATAGTGTATGTTTCCATGTTTGGTAGAATCTGGTTAAATAAATTCCACAGGCATTTATTTCAATGTATTTCTGGGGGCTTAAATGTGCTTCCACAAATTCCATCCGGCCCAGTCATTGGTTGACCACTAGAGGGCTGTAAAGTTGCACAGTCATTGGTTCATCCCCTGTGAGTTGGTGTGTTAGCGTGCTGGATCATGTTGCAGCAGTGAGGGGCTTGGTTCAGTTACCGCTCTGAGGGATTTTTCCATTCTGAGTTGATCTGTGTTTAGGATCCTATGCAGGGTGGGTGAGATGTGAGAGTCTTGGTTCAGAGGTCATTGGAGCGGCCCAGGGTATGGAAATACCATCTGGCTTTGTTTTTATCACCCCACCATCTGGTGGATTTGTTGTCATCCTTTGGGTGCAACTGTGTTGGGGGTTAAATTTGTTGACACTGCAACAAAATGAAATATGTACTGTATAGCACATAGTTACGAAATCAAAGGGATAAACAATGTGTAATACATGCCACTCACCACCTCTGTATGGGTTTTATCTGTGTTGTTGCTGATTTTAAAACTTCAGATCTGTTATTTTCTTGAAGGGGTCCTGAATTGGTCTAAACCAGCATGACAACATATAGGAAAGGAACAAGTAAATAATGAAGGATGAATTCCCTATATCTTTTGGGACAGGTCCACTGTGTCTGTCAGTGTCATGTCTGGTAGAACCCAGACTGACTAATAGGAGACCTGATCTTTTTCCCCCCCACTAATTGATCTTTTGACCAATCAGATCAGCTCTGAAAAAGATCTGATGTGAAAAGATCTGATGTGAAAAGATCTGATGTGATTGGACAAATGACCAATTAGTTGAAAAAATATCAGAATTGGGCTGCCTGTCTAAACGCAGCCTTAGGGGACTAATGGACTAAGACTCAAAAGTTCAAAAACATGACCCTCTTAAAACAGGACAGGCTCAATCAACAACCCTCAGCCTTCTCTGTGGACAGAGCCTGTGGATTACTAAATGATTACTGGAGGATTCAGTTCACAGTTGACTAGCCATCCATTGAAAGCCTCCATTAGAAAAACACATGACTCGGCTCTGCCATTTTCAAAATGGCTGTCTCATAATCAAAACATTTGTACTTGGTCAGGTTTCCAGAATCCCTGAACATACCTTCTTGAGAGTAAGAACGAGGCTAGAGTATGCACTTCTTCTAGTTTGTAGTGAGGCACTAAAACTACTGTATTCAAGTGACTGTTATCACCATCTGACCACATCACCAAATATAACTGCCTAGATGATTACTAAACAGGGAAAAAGTGGCAATATGTTCCAAACTGATGAGCACAAGTATAAGCTATTTGCTCTTGTTTTCGGCTCAGGGATAGGGCTATAATAAGGGTGAAGATCAGAGTTTGTGAATATAATTGTGTTTATAGCTAGATAGTGTAGTACTATACCTCTGTCCTGTGCAGTTAGTACTGACCATGTACTGTACCAGTGGGGTTATCTTGGCCGCTGCCGCAGGCCACACAAAGCCCTGCTGGGCCTGCCATGGTTAATGTTGAAGTGGGCCATTGAGTCAGAGGGCTAATAATATAGAGCTGGCATTTCACGCTAGGCAGCGCTTACACGCTAAAATTAGCCCTGTACTCCCCTCTTTCTGCCTGCTGTACCCTGCCCTGCCGTGCTGCCGGCTCTTTCATCTGTCTGCTGTTCCAGCCAGGCAGCCACCCCCTCTGCTCCCCTGTTTTGGTGTGTCTTTGTTTGTCTGTTTTTAAACAACACAGACAGTTAACTGATCCAGGGGGTAAAATGCCCCCAGGAGTGTACTTAGGGGCATCTTGCCTACAGGTTTTAGATTCCATTGTGTAAATATTTGTGGGAGAGAAGCAAACTGAAACACATGTTACAGTAACAGGGGTACTATCTAAGGATAGGCACATGTGAAGAGCTGTTATGACAGACAGATAGGTTGAGTTCTGTACACCTGAGGGTTTGGAAAATATTTCATATGCAAGCTATGGAGTTTGAGTGTCTGTCTGATATAGGAGTGTAATGACAACTGTATAACATTCTTATTGTTAGAATAAACACTTCATAATAATAATAAGACATACTATAACACAATCAATTACATTTGGGATGGCAAAATGTTCATAACCTTGAATAGTGAACTGACGATAGAGAACCCTTCTCCCATTCGTTAAACGATCCTCATCCCCCTATTCCCTCTCCATCCAGGGACCGCATCGACCCGTTCCAATTCAAGTTCCAGTTCAAGAATGTGGAGTACTCGTCAGGTCGTAACAAGACGTTCCTGTGTTACCTGGTGGACAAGGGGAAGGCTGATGACGGTCTGATGAGAGGTTACCTGGTGGACAAGGGGAAGGCTGATGACGGTCTGATGAGAGGTTACCTGGTGGACAAGGGGAAGGCTGATGACGGTCTGATGAGAGGTTACCTGGAGGATGAACACTCAGGAGCCCACGCTGAGCAGGCCTTCTTCCTCCAGACTCTCCCAGACTACGACCCTGCTGTTAAATACACTGTCACCTGGTATGCATCTCTCAAATATACGGTCACCTGGTACATATCTCTCAAACATACAGTCAAGTCACCTGATACGTATCTCTCAAATACACTGTCTGTTGGTACGTTTCTATAACCTGCTCCAATTCACTGTCACCTGGTATGCATCTCTCAAATACTGTCACATGGTTCGTATCTCTCAAACATACAGTCACCTGGTATCTATCTCTCAAATACACTGTCACCGGGTACGTATCTCTCAAATACACTGTCAACTGGTAACTGTCAAATACACTGTCACCTGGTAACTATCGGTCAAATACACTGTCACGTGGTAACTATCTGTCAAATACACTGTCACCTGGTAACTATCTGTCAAATACACAGTCACGCACATACATACATACATACAGTATCTACGCAGATAGCTGTGGCCCGTTTCACAGGAGGTTAGCAGCACTTAATGAAAAGATTAGAACCCTCTCTATGACCTCATCATATGTGCCTAATTCATCTTTACCCCCTCCCTTGTCGCAGGTACATGTCATCCAGCCCCTGTGCGGCCTGCGCGGCTAAGATCGCAGAGGCCCTCCGGGCCAGGAAGACCGTCAAGATGACCCTCTTTTCAGCCCGGCTGTTTGAGTGGGAGGAGCAAGAGATCCAAGCGGGGCTGAATGCTCTGTCTCAAGCGGGGTGCAAGCTGAGGATGATGAAGCCCATGGACTTCACCTACGTCTGGGATACTTTTGTGGAGAACGACAACCTAACGTTCACCCCCTGGGAGGACTGCCAGGACAACTATGAGTACTACCACGAGAAACTGGCCGACATCATGCAGTGATCACAGTGAGTGTAGGGGAGAGGAACACACATATGCATGCATGCCATAGGCCTACATATGCACACTTATGCAGGCTAAATACACATGAAGAGTTTCATTCCAAAAAAGCTAGATATCAATTTTCAGAAATGTTGGTAAATCAGCTTCTATTGTTTCAAGAAATTATTAAAGACATTGGTGTGTTTTTTCACTATCTAATCATGGCATGGGGTTGTTCAATTACATACACTGTTTAAAATCTGTTACTTCATGGTTTCATAGAGACAAATAATCATGTTTTTTTTTGCATAATGCTATATATCCGCCTCTCTCTCAGATATAAAAAGTAGTACTGCTAGGTTTTACACAGTGAAGTGTAACAAATAACTATTATATTACACAAGCATGAAGGTACCCATAAGCAATCATTTCTGATGAAAAAACACCATGTAAAAAATGTGTGGATATAGAGTTTTGGAAATAAACTCTTCACATGCAGGTATGTAGGGGTGCACATAGACACATGCAGTCACAAGACTGATCCCAGAGATGATCTCAGAGATGGAACATATTCTTATGCAAAGCCAGTGAGGGGCCAGCCCAATAGGCCAGAGCAATAAAGCTAATGAGGGTGACCCCAAAGAGAAAGACAAACAGATACAGTTACTGTTATTCCCCTGGCTGATGAACTGCTGCTTAATGAGGGCAGCTGCTAACATTCAGGAGAAATGGTGCTGAAGACTGGAGGCTTAGCTTCAATCCTGGGGTTCTGATCCTCAGAGAAAGTCTAAGGGCTCTATTAAATCTGTATCGCTGCAGCATTACAGATTGCACAATAGAAATGTAAATGTCAGATTGTGCCGGCATATGCAGCCACCGCTAACGTAGAAACATTGCCTTTAAATTTCAATCAGGCGATACGGATTGAATAGAGCCCTAAAGGCTAGTTAGAGTTCCTTTTAGGTTAGTCAGCAAAACATGAGATGTGTAGTATTCTTCTTATCTTTTTGATGAGGCGATATCAATTCATTTTGAGTTGCTGTTGGTGTCAATATTCTCTCTCTCTCTCTCTCTCTCTCTCTCTCTCTCTCTCTCTCTCTCTCTAGAATTCACCTGCCACCTCCACTATCCCAGCATCCTCAGTGATGTGAGCAGTTTGAGTGTCAAGCCATCCTGCACCAAATGCCTTTATGAAGCTCCTCCTCCTCCCTCTCCAAATGGAACTCTCTGTCCTAGTTTCCACTCTCCGTTCTGGAGTTGTCCTCACAGGACACGTCTGCTGGTTCATCTGTGGATTAATTGTCAACGTCAAGATGAAGGCTCTGCAATGATGCACTCGTGGGTTATAATTCAAGTATAAATGATCTATTATTTTATTACATTTGAAGTTGTAATAATTTGTCCTTCTCCTTCTGTGTCCTCGAAGGATGTTTCATACTGTATCTGCACAAATCGTTTTTCATATCTGCACTAATGTTGCTTCTTCAACGGCAACATTCAGGGGGCTAGAATGATATTCTTTGTATGAATATTCATATATATATTGTTAATAATGATAACCCAGACTGTTACGTTCTAGAGAATTAACAGAAATTTGTGTTATTGTTATTAGGAGCAATTTTACTTTTGTGAGTTTGGATGAGATACGTTCAATATCTTTGTTTTCCACGTTTTGTTTTAGCAAGAAAACATTCTTGTTTCTTGATGGTGTTCATTTTAAATCGTGATTGAATGATAAAAATTGTCATTTTTTACAGAAAGAATGAGTAACGATTGTAATGGTTCTTGAGCACACTATTTAACTTAAAGATTCTATAGACCTAGCTATAGAAATTGAAGCAAAGTATATTATTTATACACAAAGTGAAAATAAAGTGTGGAGTTTTAAAGTGTTATTTTGGTCCTACTAGTTGAAAGCCCAGTAAGAATCGATGGATCTCTGAGAGCAGGAAGCTTTGGAACTGAGAGCAGGAAGCTTTGGTTGTTGAGTTATCTAGATAAAGCCTAGCTCTAGCCTACTCTTGAGAGCACTGCTCTAGTCTCGCGTTCCGGACTCAGAATGCTGAGACCCAGTCAGCCTACATTCACGAGTAGAGTGGTTCTATTAAAAGACTGTGGATTGTTCATCACACAATAACAACTCATCAAGGCACTAAAACACTGGGTATATGTTAACGACCATCAGAGTCAGGGGATTCAAAGCAATCTGCAGCTATTTCTGTGTCTCGGTTCTTGTGAAGCCATATAATAGAATGTAAGAGAGCTTTGGAGTAAATTAAGAATCAATTAAGAATGACTGAACTCATCATCAGCAGATAAGGAAAATGTATTTGAATGAGACGACCATGCATTGTTGCACACAGCACTAGTTGACATTTACATCTCTGACTGTACAGTACATCTTCACAGAGATCTGATGGCTGAAAAACATGCCAAATCTAACAGGCTCCAAGCAGCTAGCCATAAAGAAGAGACATGGTCCATGTTACAGACTTTCAGTAGCCTAACATACTCATTGACATTCAAAACAGTGACACAGAATTCGAAATAGAGAAGGTTCTGAGCACCTTGACTATATTGATTATCATTTCCATTCAAATAATGAGTGTATGAGGTTGGGGAAGCATTGGGGTAGGTAACTGGGCATGTGTGCAGTGTAGTTAGGGAGTTGAGAGGTCTATGGTTCCCCTTCAGAGAGTTCCATGAGGTGGGGGTCGAATAAGTTTCTCATAAGTCTCTCCACTGACCCCTTGTGGTTGTTGCTGGTCTCCCCAGACTGAGAGCCAGCAGGGTGTGGGTTGAGGGCAGGGGAGAGGCCTGGGGTGTAGCCCTGGATGGGGTTGAGGGCAGCGGGGGACAGCAGGAAGGAGGAGCGGGTCTGGGCGGTGTGGAGCCCCTCTATGGCGCTGGACAACCAGATGAGTCTCTTCAGGCTCTTGATGGTCCTCCCACGGTCATGCAGCAGCTGGTGCTCTGTCACCGCTCGCCTGCTGGAGAGAAGAGGAGGGGACAGGGAAGGGGTGGAGAGGAGAGGAAAGGAGAGGAGGGGAGGGGTGGAGGAGGGCAGAGATATGAGCAGGGAGGGAGAGGAGTACAGTAATGTGTTCAGACAACAGTGTGATAGAAATATGATAAAGGAGATTATTTTATTTTCACGTCTCTCATTTCTCCATAGAATGAGTTTGACACCCCTGCTTTAGAGGAACCAGTCACATACCTTTCATTCTCCTGACAGCGACTGACTGTGAAGACTACGAGAACCATGACAGCGACCGACTGCACAGGCTTCTGGGATACCAGCATTTTCTGCAGGGATCAAACATTCACACACACAAAAAAATGTAATTCCTCAAAACTCACTTTGTTTTTCTTATTTGTATACCTATTATGTCTCTGCGTATTCTTTTGAAAACTAGCTAGCAAAGTTTCCGGTATCCATCATTCAGGTATTCATCTGTTCATCATCAATCAAACACTCAGACAACACAAAAAAGGCGTGTTGACTTTTAGTAATTATTGGAGTCGTTACAAGTACAGCCTAGAGTTTGTTTGCTTGCGTATCCCTTGTAGTACCCACAGTTTGGGAAACCCTTTTTTTAATAGATAAAATGATATCATGCAGATATACATGGTAATAGTAGATCATGTTTAAGTCGCTCTGGAGAAGAGCGTCTGCTAAATGACGTAAATGTAAATGTAATGTTAAATAATGGTTGAATTGTAATGATAAACAAATTACATTTAAAATGAGTTACCAAAGTAATTATTATGTAGTTACTAAAATCACACTTCACTACATAATGTATAACAAATTCCTGAAGCTAAGTTATTACAAACACCTGAAAATCAAGGACCTCTAGTCAGTGTCTTGGGCAATTCTAATTCCAGATCTCCAGCCAGTTTACCTGTAGGAAATGAGAAGGTGTCAAGGTGTACTTACATAGTCCCTGATACAGCTATAGTCTTCCCCGATTCCTCAGACACTTACTGTATTAGCCCCTAGAGAGGGTGACACTAGTCTATTATCCCCCTCCCTCCCTGACACACACACACTAGCTGACCTCACACACAAACCCACACCCTTCGTTAATTAGGCTACAGTCACGTAGACACACAACGTCACACTACTAAAGACAAAATGGCACTCTTTTTTCCCCCTTTCTCAAATAGTGAGACACAAATCATGCTCTGCCATTGACATGTTAATATATGCTCAAATCGCCAAGTCAATCTAACAATAAACTCCAATCCTAAAATCGATTTTTAAAGCGTTCTGTCTAGCGTCTATAGGCTTTTGACTGGTGTTTTTCCCATAAGAGGTAGGGATGTGAGGGGAAAACGTATGATTCATCAGATTATTTGTGTCAGTATAATTGAATTCCTCTGATGTTCAGGATTTGGGGTTGGGATAGCTTCCATCTGTTGAGGTATTGTCTACATTGTCTGGTTTATACACAGGTAGGGAAATTCCATTTTCTGAGCGATCAGCATTGTCCAACAATTCTTCTCAAAGAAACGATTTTGAAAGACCAATAAATGACAGCTTTGAATAGGGGTGCTTGTGTCATTCCAATACATACCAAAATCTATCTTATTTAGCGTGTTTGTGAAGCACAAGACAAAGGCTATTCAGTAACATCTTGATTCTTTGGGTTATGGGTATTGTGACGAGCATTCGGGTTCAACTTGAGTGACAGTCAACAAACTGTAACAAAAGCATGAAGAAACAGAGAAGAGACGTGAGTGGGCGGTTGTAGTGAGCAGGTTGAACTTATCTATTAGCATACCCACCTCTCCTCTCCTCTAGTTAAGATGCCTGGGCCTTAGAGCTGGTGGCCTTAGAGCTGTTCTGTTCTTCATGTCTGACATGAACCCCCTCCTCCTAATGAACCTCCCACAGTGAAGTCTCCCGTTACCATGACACAGAGAGTCGCCGTTGGAAATGCAGTCGTCTTGACAACATTTCTGGGCCAGGTTTCCCTAGGTGAGAAATGCAGTCTGCTGTTAAAGGTCTGTGGGCGTATAGCAGGGGTGGAGAGAGATACAGAGAAAGAGAGAAAGAGATATAGACAGAAAGAATAAGAGCAAGCGAGAGAATAAGAGCAATCGAGAGAGTGAGAGCGAGAGAGAGAGAGAGCGAGAGAAGAGATTACATTTGAAATGTCTTCATTCTTTTGGAACTTGTGAGTGTAATGTTTACTATTCACTTTTTATTTCACTTTTGTTTATCCATTTCACTTGCTTTGGCAATGCAAACATATGTTTCCCATGGCAATAAAGCCCCTTGAATTGAATTGAAGAGAGCATGGGCAGTTACAGTATGCATTTATAATGCTGGATTCTCTCACTGTTGAAGACCTCTGACCAGCAAACTAGATAAAAACTAGTGGCAATCTCCTTCAGTACATGACTACAGTGCAGAAGTATCTGCAAAGTAACGCTATAAAGACAGAATTCAGCAAACTTGGGTTGATGCTTAGAATTTCAATGGTCACCATGTTGGCATCCAAAGTTCCAACACAATGACATTGTCACCAACCCTGTGTTTTCAGATCAGGGTAAGGAGACAAAGACACTTTATTGAATTGCAGTTTATTGAATTGCAAACCTACTGCGCTTCACTGAACAAGAAAATGTTTTTCAGAGCATTGATTACTTCTAGGAAGAGAGGAAGTATGCAATATTCAAACAGGGCCCTGACTGGGGTTGCAAAGGGAGGGTATATTACTGGAAACTTTCTAAGTCTACCAGTAAACTACCAGAATTTCTGTAACTTTCAAGGAATATATAGAATTTTATCAGATGGCATCAAGTGGCCTTTTTGTGTACTTCAGATTATCACAGGTGTATGTAATGATCTCTGGCCCTCGGTGTGACCTTATCACAATTAAAGTATATTCAAAAATATAATAAGATTTTAAAATAAATAATAGAATGACAAAGCTGTAAAACATTATCCTAAATATAAAGTTTCTGCCTATAGGAAGGGAGGAGCAGGATGGAGTTGTGATCTGATTTGCCGCCCTCCCTTCGGCAAATCAGATCACGACTCCATTCTGCTCCTCCCTTCCTATAGGCAGAAACTCAAACAGGAAGTACCCCTGCTAAGGTTGTTCCCACTGTGACTATTAAAACCTACCCAAACCAAAAACTGTGTATAGATGGCAGCATTCGTGTAAAACTGAAAGCGCGAACCACCGCATTTAACCACGGCAAGGTGACTGGGAAAATGGTTGAATACAAACAGTGTAGTTATTCCCTCCGTAAGGCAATCAAACAGGCAAAACATCAGCAGAGACAAAGTGGAGTCGCAATTCAACGGCTCAGACACGAGACGCATGTGGCAGGGTCTACAGACAATGACGGATTACAAAGGGAAAACCAGCCACATCGCGGATACCAACGTCTTCCTCCCAGAGAAGCTAAACACCTTCTTCACCTGCTTTGAGGATAACACAGTGCCACCGATAAGGCCTGCTCCCAAGGACTGTGGGCTCTCTTCTCCATGGCCGACGTGAGTAAGACATTTAAGCGTGTTAACCCTTGCAAGGCTGCCGGCCCAGACGCCATCCCTAGCCGCATCCTCAGAGCATTTGCAGACCAGCTGGCTTGAGTGTTTACTGACATATTCAATTTCTCCCTATCCCAGTCCGCTGTCCCCACTTGCTTCAAGATGTCCACCATTGTTCCTGTACCCAATAAAGCAAAGGTAACTGAACTAAATGACTATCCCCCCATAGCACTCGCTTCTGTCATCATGAAGTGCTTTGAGAGGCTAGTTAAGGATCATATCACCTCCACCTTACCTGACACCCTAGACCCACTTCAATATGCTTACGGCCCCAATAGATCCACAGACGATGCAATCGCCATCACACTGCACACTGCCCTATCCCATCTGGACAAGAGGAATACCTATGTAAGAATGCTGTTCATTGACTATAGCTCAGCCCCCTCCTGTACTCCCTGTTCACCCATGACTGCGTGGCCATGCATGCCTCCAACTCAATCATCAAGTTTGCAGACGACACAACAGTAGTAGGCCTGCTTATCAACAATGACGAGACAGCCTACAGGGAGGAGGTGAGGGCCCTGGCAGTGTGGTGTCAGGAAAATAACCTCTCCCTCAACATCAACAAAACGAAGGAGCTGATGGTGGACTTCAGTAGACAGCCGAGGGCGCACGCCCCGATCTACATCGACAGGACCGCAGTGGAGAAGGTGTAAAGCTTCAAAGTTCCTCGGAGTACACATCACTGACAATCTAAAATGGTCACCCACACAGCGCCTCTTCAACCTCAGGATGCTGGAGAAATTTGGCTTGGCCCCTAAGACCCTCACAAACTTTTACAGATTTGCAACTGAAAGCATCCTGTCGGGCTGTATCACCAACTGGTACGGCAACTGCACCGCCCGCAGTCGTAGGGCTCTCCAGAGGGTGGTACAGTCTGCCCAACGCATCACCGGGGGCACACTGCCTGCCCTCTAGGACACCTACAGCACGCGATGTCACAGGAAGACCAAAACGATCCTCAACGTCATCAACCACCCGAGCCACGACCTGTTCTCCCCGCTATCATCCAGAAGGCGAGGTCTGTACAGGTGCAACAAAACTGGGACAGAGAGACTGAAAAACAGCTTCTATCTCAAGGCCATCAGACTGTTAAATAGCCATCACTAGCCGGCTACCACCTGGTTACTCAACCCTGCACCTTAGAGGCTGCTGCCCTATGTACATAGACATGGAATCACTGGTCACTTTAATAATGTTTACATGCTGCTTTACTAATTTCAAATGTATATACTGTATTCCTACTGTATTTTAGTCAATGCCATTTCAACATTACTCATCCTAATATATATATTTCTTAATCCCATTCTTTTACTTTTAGATTTGTGTGTATTGTTGTGAATTGTTAGATACTACTGCACTGTTGGAGCTAGGAACACAAGAATTTCGCTACACCCACAATAACGTCTGCTAAATATGTGTAGGTGACCAATACAATGTGATTTGAAATCATCAACTTAGTGAATACTATTGGATTTTAATATGAGCGTTTCAGCTTGAAATAAATAAATATATATATTTTTTTACACTTTTATTTATTTTACAATGTCAATATGTCTTTGGCGTAAATGTTTTGTGGCCAAATTGGTGGCAGTTGTCTGTTTCCCAAATATCAGTGTGGCGAATGGATCTATCATTTCAACAGTCCCTTTTCAGCTACAAAACATGGTACAGTTATTGTGGCTACAGTCCGTTTACTCTATAGATATAATAAGGAATTTGATGGATTGAT